TCCCCCAAACCCGCTTTCCCGACTTCCAGACACAAACCCTCTCAGCCCCCTTTGATTCAGCCTGTCCCTTGCTCTGTCTGTGAAAGTGCTTGCCAAGTCCTTTCACTTCTCTCCTCCCCATTCCACTCTGCCCAAGGCCCCTCCTCGTATCAGAATGTCATTGCTTGGTCTGCTGAAGTTTTGTTCTCACTCGTCTTCTCCGTGGCATGTTCTTCCTGCCCCTTCCCCAATCCATTGCCTTCTTGTCATGCTCTGAAGCAGTTGAGATCATGTCGCTCCCCTGCCCAGAAAGCAATGGCTCCCCTCTGCCTGCAGCATCAGGGCCCCTCTTGGCTTTTCCGATTTCCCCCCTTTTCTCAAGAACTCTGTGCGTTAGCAAACCGAATATTCCTCCTCACCAGGTATGTTCTGTGTTTGCATTTAAAACTTCCTTATGTGGCCCACTCTGTTGGAAATGTCCTCTTGGCCAACTTTTATCTCCTTTTAAGCGTAGCTCAGACACTGCTTCCTCCATAAAGTCAGCCCTGAGCTGTCGCAATGCTCAGAAGGGCTTCCTCTGACGGCGCTGTTTCCTACTTGGATTGGAGTTGGTGGAGCAGGTCTGAAGCCTGGTCTCCGAGTGGCCCTGATGGCCCTGCGTGCACAGCGGCCGGCAAGAGGACTCCCTTTTCTGATCGCTGGGTCTCCTTTTCGGTGCTAGTTTCTTTTTGGCCAGGATACAGGCTTGACATTTTTACTTCTCAAAACATAGTCTGAGTTTATTTATGGTGAGATACGTTATTTATAACATTAAATTTAGCAAACGAGTCAAGAGATTTAAGTGCATATAGATTGCCCTTCCCCATTACCCCCCTGCAATATGCTAATTAATGCAATGAAAAAAATGTATAACTTCTTATAAAGTTTTTAATTGTACCTTTAGGAAGTGAGATTTACATAAACTACGCAGGTATAATTGAAATCTGAAGTTTAAAAATTTTCTTCTAGTAAATACCTACTTGCTCTCAGTCCAGTTCTTTCCATGACCTGTTTTCCCCCTTTTGAGCTAGATTTACATAAACGGCAGGTAGGCATGGGGGGGGGGGGCGGTGCTTTGGGAGTGAATGGGGACAGGTGTGAGCAGAGTTGGAAAAGACCTTAGGTAGTGCATCTGTACGTGGGAGAACTGAGCATCACGCATGACGTGTGTATCGCTTAGGAGTCACTTAGGACCCTGTGTTGCCAATTTCATCTGATCTCTTGGGTCAGACTAAACACAGCCTCACTGAGCCAGGAACTGAGTCAGAATCCAGGAGGCGATTCCACTCTGGATGCCTCACCTCTGCCCCTCGTCTCTGACCTTGACAAGCGTTTCTTCTCCTTGCAGTTCACTTTTCTACTGTCTCAAATGGTGAGATTGCGTCTGTCTACCTCATAGATTTCTTGTGAAGATCTTCTTACTAAATGTCAGCTCTCAACATTACAAAGGGCAGTGTAAGCCCAAGGCAATGTATTTTCATAGAATTTTCAGCTGGGAAACCATTTCCTCTTGTTCAGGGCAAACATAGTACATTGACAGCTCATACAAAGTTAGTTCTCTTAGCTTTGAATCAGTACTTTAAAATAATTTAGTTCAAAAGGGAAATTTTTTTTTTAAAAGTTTCCTGGTTCAACTTCATATGGAATGCACACCTTCCAAGGCCAGAAGCACATGTCTTCAGGTTCCAGAGAGGCATCCCAGACCTCTTCCTTCCTTTCATTCTCAGAGTAAAAGACAAATTTAGGGTTTTTTTTTAATCTTAAGAATGTCCTCAGTCATGTATATTTTCATATCAAAAAGGGAAAAATAGCATTTAATTGTTTTGCTTATGTATTGGCTTTTCCCAGTGGGAAACAGTTACAGTTGGTGTCTCAAAGGGATAGCAGATAGGAACCTCCCTCAGGATTCTATAGTGGGGGCTGCACTGTTTCCCTAGCAAAGGAGGCCCTTCGCGGCCTCTACCCCAGGCCCGGAGTGTGTGGTCCTGCTCGGGGAGGACCCAGGATAACTGGGCATCTCCTGGGCCCTAGCACATCTGAGGGGAGAGCCTTTCCTTTTTCTTGATGGACTGGGATCCATGTCCTTATCCTGAGGATGAGGCATCTGATGGACATCTCTTGGAATAATTGTGTCCTTTACAGGTGTGTCCTGGTGGTCCTTTCGGGCTAAAATACCGCAGGCTGGGGAACCTACCAACAGCAGAAATGTGTTACTGCTCCCAGTCCTGGAGGCTGGGAAGTCCGAGATCGGCCAGCCTGCTGGTCTCCCGGGAGGGCTGCCTTCCCGGGAGGGAGCTTTGCTGTGTCCTGGAGGACGGGGCAGGGCCCCTCCAGAGCGTACAAGCCACGCATCCCGTTCCTGCGCTTCCCGGAGGCCCTCCTGTAAATGCTCGGGTCTGCGGGCCTCAGGGCTGCACACAGGAGTCTGCGGTGCGGGAGGGGACACCACAGGCCACAAGTACACTTGTCTGTAAGAGTCATCTTTTGCACAAATCGTAGGATAGGGCAGCTGCCTTCTTAAAACTTCTCACTGTGGCTGTCCCCACTCAAGGACCAGAGGAGCTCACTGTCGGTTACCTTTTCCGTCCTGTTTCCTCTGCTTAATTCCAAGATTTCATCCTATGTCTATCAAATTCATTTCACTGTGAAAACACCTCGCTGCCGTTTAACTGCTTCCTGTCTGTTAGGCTCAGACTGTTGGCTTTTCTTCCCTTCGGTTTTTCAGACCTCATCTGCCCTTTAAAGATAAGCGTAGGTGTGCAGCTCCAAGCCTCGCCCTGTTGCTTTGTCCCCGCGAGTAGTTCCTTTTCCAGAATTTTCTCTCTCTGTGATTTGCTGAGCATTTGTATTGTGTGTGCCGGTGTTTTCTTTCGTTTCAGCTAAGTCCTTCCAGACGGACGCCATGCTACTCTTTTTGTCGTGTGTCCGTAAATGTTTTTAATGCTGCTAATGACTTCAGGTGCTCAAGCAGGTGAAATCACGTTTAGGAGTTATTACTCGCTTTACCAAGAGATTAAGAGAAAAGAAACGGAATTTACTAAAAATACTGTGAGTAAGAGTATGTGAGGGTCTTCTGCATACGCAATACAAACTACGCAAAAACGGCATCCTCAGAGTCTTTTTTACCCAAGTGTGGATAAGGTCCACCAGCACAACCAAACTACCAGTTAAGAAGTCGAGCATGAATATGACTTTCAAACTGGAAAAGCTATGCTACATTGAGGGAACTTTAAATTTTGACTGTCCAACCACAGCTCAGGATAACTTTGTTAACATATGGATTCTCGTTTAAACACACACAGTAGCCGCCAGATCTCATGCGGCTTCCAGAAGGGCCTTTAAAGTCGCCAGAACCCAGCGGGGACGTCCCAGCACGTGCAGGATCACTACATGGTTTCACCAGGTCATTCCCTGGCCACGCGGTCATTGGAAGGAGTTCATGACCCTTCCACATTTTTGCAGGTTTCCTACAAAATTCCTCTTCCCTCAGAACCTCCAGGAGCTTGGTTCTTTTCCGCCTCCAGTTTTTCTTGACAGTCTGGTTTTTCCGGGTGAGCGCGGGCTCTCCCTGTCCTCAGGCTCCCAGTCCGGGGCCTGGGGGCTGGTGCAGGGCCGGGGCCTGAGGGCCTGAGGGCTCCTCTGTGGTCTGGGACTCTTCTTCCTGCCGGAGCAGGACTGCGTGCTTCTCAGTGATGAAGAGGAAGGGCTCCTGTTGGCAGTCGCCAGCACGGAGCCCAGGCACCGGTGGGCTTCCGGTTGGCCGGTTCGCGTGGAGGTTTTCCATCTCATCCCTTGTCCGTCTAGTGCAGCTGCCCTTCCCAGAGCGGCATTGACAAGGAGATGCAGGGTCAGTGCAGGCCCTGTGAGCACTCACCCCCTTCTTCCTCCTCCTCCTCTGGCAGAGTCTGTATCACCAGAGCAGAACCAAGGGGACCAGGGCACACCAGATCAGGCTGCAGTGGTAGTGGCCACCTCAGATAACACATTCAGATGGGGGCCATTGAGCTATCACACGGGTTATAAGATTTACTTAACAATTGTTTAAAACTTCTCTTTCATTTGTTTATTTATTTATTTTTTTTTTTGAATATATTTTATTGATTTTTTACAGAGAGGAAGGGAGAGAGATAGAGAGTTAGAAACATCGATGAGAGAGAAACATCGATCAGCTGCCTCCTGCACATCCCCCACTGGGGATGTGCCCGCAACCCAGGTACATGCCCTTGACCGGAATCGAACCTGGGACCTTTCAGTCCGCAGGCCGACGCTCTATCCACTGAGCCAAACCGGTTTCGGCTATTTGTTTATTTTTTAAAAGTCTCAGTTGGCATTTAAATAAAGGAAACAGATAAATGCAGCCCCTCGTTGAAGGTCATTTCACTGCATTGCCCTCCAGTCGCCCCCAGTCTCCACCCCCATGTACCTCCATGTAGTACTCGGGCCTTAGAGAAAGCAGTTCAGGAGTGAATAATATTTCTGTTTTAGTAAACAGTTAACTCTATTCATTCAGTTACATAGCCTGGTGCTGAGAAACAGGAGTCACAGACCACCATTGCTCACCAGCGGACCTGGTGTTCTTTAAAATAGTGTCGACACAGTATCTTTGCCTCTTCTGGCCTTCAAAATGTGATTTTTTTTTATTAAAGAGAAGGATATATATATATATAAAAGCCTAAGCAACCGTTAGGACCGGTCAACCAAACGACTGGTAGACTGGTCGCTATGACATGCACTGACCACCAAGGGGCAGATGCCCAATGCAGGAGCTGCCCTCTGGTGGCCAGTGCACTCCCACAGCCAGCCGACTCCCGCGGCCCCCTGATTGGGACTGGGTGAGACAGCCCTATCCGCCGATTGCCAGCCAGCCCGAGGGATCCCAGTTTAAGTATAAGAGTAGTAAAAAACCAGAGATCTCTTTCATAAGCTGTTTTCTCCTTTAATTCACGCATGGACTTACAAAACCATCTTCATTACTACTGCAGGCCATGGTTGCTTGTTACCCAGGCAATGGGACGGGATATGTGCGTCATGTTGATAATCCCAACGGAGATGGAAGATGTGTGACATGTATATATTATCTTAATAAAGACTGGGACGCCAAGGTATGCAACTTCATTGAACATTCTTCTTTCTCACAGGCACTTACACTCCCCGTAGGTAGGACTGTCTTTAACACATGTGACAGTCAAACATTTCTTAGATTTGTTTCAGTCTGAGGTATTAGGCGTAGATTTTGTAAAATGAAACAAATACTAGTAACACATCTCAAAAAGTGGGTTCCTTTACTTTCAGATATTGACGTGTTCACCTAAAATTTAACTTTTATAAAAGTGTTTTATTAAAATACTAGAGGCCTGATGCATAAAGTTCGTGCAAGGGGCTCGGTCCTCACAGCCCCGGCTTCTTGTCCGGAAGGTCGTTCGGCTGTCCAGGCTAATTAGCACATCACCCTTTTTTATTACAGATTTCCCATGTGAACAACTGTAAACCTAGTTGTGCCCCACCCTATAAGTAAGAAATGTTTACTAATTTAAAACTTCATGTTAAGACTTTTGGATTCAGATAATACTCATCTGTTTTAGCCAGTATTTTCAAAAACCCTAAAACAGGAAATGATTTTTTTCTTGTATCAGTGCATTTACTTAGAATTTCAACTCACCTCCAAACCTTGTTAATTGAGATATATCTGTGAAGAATCCAGTTAAGAATTTTGAGTCACTGTAATGAACTCCCCTCTCCTCTTAAAGTTAATTTTATAGCATTCTTGGTTGTTCACACTTAGATATTTGACTCTTTTCCTAGGTAAGTGGAGGTATACTTCGAATTTTTCCAGAAGGCAAAGCCCAGTTTGCTGACATTGAACCCAAATTTGATAGACTGCTGTTTTTCTGGTCTGACCGCCGCAACCCTCATGAAGTACAACCAGCTTTTGCTACAAGGTAGTATTCCTTTAAGAAACAATTGTTAAGATGATGGCAGGACGGAGGGGTAGATAAGATAAACTGGAGTTTTCTAATGAGCGTTTTCATGTTCTTCAGTGACGTGTATTGTAATGCTTCGGTCATAACTTTGAATGTGAGTAATTTTACAAGATCTGTTCCCAGTTAGTGCTGCATGTGTCTCTGCACAGACGCTCCTTGTTCGGGGTAAAAGTGGACACGCGGGCCCTGTCCTCTTTCCAGCCCCATCTCCTTGTTTGTCCATCTCTTATCTCCTCACCCTCCTGTGATCTCGTGAGAGTAGAGTTGGCCCTTGACCAGTGTGTGGATAAAGGGGTACAGACTCCCAGGCAGTCAAAAATCCGTGTGTGACTTTTGACCCCCAAAACCCGTAACTGCTAATAGCTTACTGTTAACCAGAAGCCTTAGTGATAACAGAGTCCATTAGCGCATTGTATGTATCACATCCTGTATTCTTACAATAAAGTACGCCAGAGGAAAGAGAATGTTATTAAGGAAAATCACAAGGAAGATAATATATTACAGTACATTTGGAAAAAAACCTGCGTGTAGGTGGACCCATGCCATTCAAACCCGTGTTGTTCAGGGTCAGCTGCATTCACTTGGAATAGAAAGAACAGATAGAGAAGGAAAAGGGAGCTTTTCAAAAGGTGGGGAGGGGGGAAGAGAGAGAGATGATGTAGGGGAATACGCCAAGGAGAGAAACCAGAGGTGACCAGGGAGCAGAAGCGAAGAGAAAAAAGAATAGAGGAGAGAAAGGTGTCATGTGTGGGAGTTAAGGTTAGAAAAATAACCTTTAGCTTTAATCATAGCATCTCTTTCCACATTATATATATATTTTTAAACAAGGTTTAATATTCTATACTAGTATGCTGTTTAATGTATTTCTTAAATTCTTTTTTTTGCATTTATTGTGGCTCAATTGTTAAAACTTAAAGTGGAAGATGATACAGACATTGTTGTAAAAATAATCTTTGTAGAAAAATAGCACAATGTATTAAATACCTATTTTTTATTATCAAAAGGACTTTGAACATCATGATAGTGGATTACTGTCATGCAGTTGCTTGATATGGTGACAAGAGGCATACTCTGACACCGGAGAAGAGTAGGCTTTTTAAAAAAGACTTATTTTTACTGATTTCAGAGAGGGAGGGAGAGAAACATCAATGGTGAGAGAATCATTGATTGGCTGCCTCGTGCACGCCTCCTACTGGGGATCAAGCCTGTAACCCAGACATGTGTCCTGACTGGGAACTGAACCGTGACCTCCTGGTTCATAGGTCGACGCTCAACCACTGAGCCACACCAGCCAGGCCCAGCTGCTTCTTTAGAACTTTTCTGACCTAGAAACTGCTTCACAGACCTTCCTTCTTATGGAGTCCTGAGTGTGGTCTGTTTGTATCCTTTCTAGAGGAAGAGGTAATAGACATTTTCAGGTAGTAAGGGAGTAACTGCCAGGCGATACGGAGGGTAAGGGCCACAGGCGTCTGGAGGGGGACAGTGTGTGAGTTGGTGAGGAAGGTCCGTGTCCAGCAGAAAGACAAGCCCAGCTGGCCCGGGACGTCAGGAACAAGGACAGTGGTGTCCCTGAGGGGTTCCTACGGAGGCCGGGGGAGATGAGGGAGAAACAGATCCATGTGGTGGCTTACCAGTGTTTGCAGGTCAGGACTGAGGGCCAGAGAGGGGAGGTGATCCAGCATCTAGAACTGTGATGACTAAGAAACTCCAAGTTTGGGGCATGGGCGAAAGAGAGAGAAACCACATACCTGTGCCCGATTCCTCTTCCCAAGGCCTCTCGGGAAAATAGAAGAGTCTAGATGTTAAGAAAGGTGCGGGGAAGAGCAGAGGCTGGACTGCAGCCTCTGGTCTGTCCCTCACCGTCTGAGAGGTCCACGGGCCTCTGTTTCCCCAGGTGTCCAAACTCTCAGACTCTGCTCTGCCTTTGACTCTTCACTTCAAATATTTTACACCATTTAGCTCTGTCCCATGTACTGGCCCTTCATGCGATCGGTATTGCTTTCCCCCAGTGAATCCTGGCGGAATCTGCAAGGTGCTTTACCTGCCTGCTGTGTTCTCTTTTACAGAGAGGAAGGGAGAGGGATAGAGAGTTAGAAACATCGATGAGAGAGAAACATCGACCAGCTGCCTCCTGCACACCCCCCACTGGGGATGTGCCCGCAACCCAGGTACATGCCCTTGACTGGAATCGAACCTGGGACCCTTCAGTCCGCAGGCCAACGCTCTATCCACTGAGCCAAACCGGCTAGGGCCTGCTGTGTTCTCTTAAGGAGGTGACCGCAGCTCGCGGTCAGGACGTGTGTGTACATTTCCCCCATTTTTGGTACCAAAAGGGGTGACTGTGTACTGGATGGTATTTAATAAACCAGAGGTTCCTCATTTATTTGTGGGATAAATTCCCAATAAGTGAACATTTCAGAAAGATGACGTTTAGCTAAGCTGTATGTCTAAAGACAGTATAGCCGTTACGATAAAAGTCCTAAAAAACTCCTGGCATCATTGAAATCTCTCTTGGTGACTCGAGGTTATAAAATGGTGAGCATCCACCATGACTCTTCACGGTCATGCAGCGCTGTCCTTCCTGCCCCCGCAGAGCCGCAGCCCTGGGCCCTCTGCTGTTCTCTGCCCTCGGGCTCCTGCTGGGGAAGGTGCAGCAACTGTTCTTTACCCCTCCGTACCTGGGTGTCGGCTGTGGGCAGGCCGACCGTCATCATGTAGCTAAGGAGGCATCCAGGAGCCATAAAACTCCGCCCCGGGCGCCCCCGCAGCTGCGCCTGCCTCCCTGCTGAGCCCTTGAGCATCATGGAGGCCGGCTGAGTGGGGGTGACTCTGCTCATTAGCCCGGTAACTTTCCGACAGGCGTTGTTTTGACATGACACGTTCTATAGACATTGCGACAGCATGCCCCTTCCCCCGTGTGATCGTTCTTACCCTGTTCTAAATTCTCTTTTAGGTACGCAATAACTGTTTGGTATTTTGATGCAGATGAGAGAGCCCGAGCTAAAGTAAAATATCAAACAGGTAAACAGCATTTGGGGCCAGGGTGCACTGGAAGGACCATGCCCACGGTCCTTGTTTGGTCAGAGCCCTCGATTCCCTGATTCCAAAGAGGACTTCTCTTCAGTCAGCTGCAGTGTTTATCTTTCACCAAAAGAGTGGCCCAAAGAATAGGAACGTTTGGGGCACAGAAGCCTGAGAACATTACCACCCCAGCTGAGTTTCTGTGATTATCCTGCTCAGCCGTGAGCTGCCGAGCTCCGGTAACGGCCCCCGGGCTGCCCCTCCCGGGGCCCATAGAAGGGAGGTCACGTCTTTTCCTTTTTAAACGGACATGCTGTACCGAGTGCTCCAGGCCTCCATGGCTGACGTGGACGTGAAGAAAAATGGCACAAAGGAGAGGAGTGGAAACGCCAGCGTCAGGAACGCAGACAGGCGTGTGGAGTGGGCCTCTGCCATGGTGGCCGCAGGGCAGCACCCGTGTGCGAAGCCTGAGGGTCCTCAGGATGCCGGCCCTCCCCCCCTTAGGGCCTGTCTCCCAGAGCTGCCGGTCTTGGCTCCCATCTGACGGACGCTCACCTGTCCTTTCTCTAACCTCATATCTCCACAAGTCTGCCCAGCCTTCACGCTGCTGATGAACTAGCTGTGTTTTCATGAGCCTGTTAATCCCAGATCCTCCTTTTATGAAACTGTAAAGATTGGCTGTTCATAGGTTTTAAAGTCATCATTTTTGGAGAGCCAGCAGTGTGCGCGCTTTCAGTGATGCAGAACACACTACTCTTTTATAACCAGTTAATTACTTTTTAAATCAAAAGACAAACCTCTGTGTAGAGAACGTCTTTTCCCCTCGAAGGTTTGCTAGCTCAGAGTAACGCATTCATCACAGGACAGTGCCCAGCGTAGCTTTGGAAGTGAAGGTGTGAGCTTTCCGATGACGTATGTTTGCAGAGTTGAGACCTGTGCATGCCGTCAGGAACTCGGGGGGAAGCAGTGACAGCTGGCTGGTGCTTGATGAATGAATTGTTGTTGTTGTTGTTTGTTTTACCTGCAGGTGAAAAAGGTGTGAGGGTTGAACTAAATAAACCTTCTGATTCGATCAGTAAAGACGTCTTATAGAGAGACTGATCCAGCAACACCCTCCTTCACCTCCAGTGACTGTTGGCGCTTTGTTAACTTGTGACTCCAAATGAATGGGATAAAGGAAAATAGACAACCAGTTGGCATTTTAATAAGGAAACGGAAACAACCTTTTGGTGTTGCATCAGGAAGAAGATTTGACCGTGAGGCTTTGTACTGCATGACTGACTCCAAACCTGTGATTGCTGACGGAAGAATATAAGCTACCAGCTGAGCATGGTCTCCACCCCTGGACATGAATAAGTGCCCTAGGTAGCACTGTTTCATTCATACATTTGTCAGATCTGCCATCTAGCTGAGTTCATTTCATCTCTCCCTTTTTTATATAGTCAAGTTTGAATTTGAAGTAATTTTTGTATGATCAGGTACAATTTATCAAAACTGAATTGAGAAAAAATTACAGCATTGTCCCCCAAAATAGCATCAATCTATTTTTGTAAACCTCTTCGTACTATTAAATTTTGCCCTAAAAGACCTCTTATAATGATTTCTGCCAGTGACTGACAATTAATTTTCTTTTTACTTACAAGAAGGAGCACTTTAATTACCAGCTGAAAAATCGGATTTTTTGTAGTCCTGTCTTACACTAATTTGAACTCTTAAACATGGCTTCTGTTGTTTTTGTTGACATTGTTAATAATGAAACATAACAGTAAAACCATCACCATTTACTACCAATAACTTTTAGTTCTGAATGTTTTCTAAGAAAAAATACACAGCAAGGAAAATACAGGTTTATATTTTAAGTTCAATTTTTTTAAAAAAAGCTACAGTGACTGGCACTACGTGAACTCGAGGGTATCTTCAGCCTCAAGTTCCCAGGATAAAGGGCTTTCCTAAGCTCTCAGGTGTGTCCTATGGAGCAGCGGTCGCCAGCCTTTCAGACCTCAAGGACCACCAGGGTCCGCGGGCCACCCGTTGTCCACGCTGCTGTAGGTAGAAGAGCCCCTTCTAAGGCTTTTCCTTGGGCTTCCCATCGGTTGGTTGCATGTTGAGCTTTGCTATTACGTTTTCCTGTTCCTATAACACCCCCCCTCCCCCCGACCTGCAGGTCAGAACCTGGTTCCCGTTGGGTAGCCTCTAGGGGAGGCTGTGCTTCGAAACTGACTTGTCACAGAGGGGATGTTGGTGACACCTCAGGCTGCTGCTGAGGGGGTCCCCACCGTGAGGTTGGCTTCTTGATCAGCACCCAAAGGTGTGTGGCTCGCGTGGAAAATCAAAAGAGGAGAACAACAAGATCATTTCATGTTGTGTGAGTTTTCTTTTTTACTTTTCAGAAAAAGAGGGAATGTTCCGAAATCACACAAGGCCTCCCAGACTTGGCCACATAATGTATGGACCGGAACGGGTGTCCTAGGCAAAGCACACAGGGTGGCACCCGTATCCTGCACGCATTATGGGTGGAAGGCCCACTAAGGTTTCCTATCTCTGTCCTTGATCTTCTTGGGCAAAACAATGTGAGTGTACAGAAATACTTCTGTATATTTCCGCTGACAACAGTTCTAAGCATTTGTACCGTTTGTATTCACTTAGAGGCTTTTTCTAGGGAAAGCTCAGTAATTTTTATTAAAAGATCAATATTGTTCATGTAAAACATGAAAAAAAAATGTAGTGAAACCAACAGTGCGGATCTAGGGTGGGACTGATACTCAGTGTTGCGGCCTCACTGCGGAGAACTGCAGGACAAAGCTGCAGTTTATGTCTTTTTCATAGCCCGTGTTCAGTCTTGTCCCACTTCCTCTCCTTGTTCCGATCGTGCAGTAACCTCCACAGCTAGTGCCTCTGCAGCCTGGCCTGGGGGCGTCCCCGCCAGCTGGTCTCCGCGTGCGCTGCCTTGTTAGGTGTCGAGCAGGTTGTGCTGTGTGGAGGGGAGGTCTGTCTGACTGTCTGGGCTCAGCAACAGCCTCCCAGCCTGGGAGCCCCGCGTCACACTCCAATGTCCGCCTGCAGCTCTGCTGGGAGGGCTGTGCTGCCAGGCAGGGCTGACCTTTTGTAGTTTGGGGGAGGAGTCTATGTAATCCCTTGGAGGTCATTGTGAAAGGATCAAGAACCAGAATAGCCATTTCTTTAATGTCCATTTAAAATCTGCTCTTTTCATGTTAGTGGGGTCGTTACATTGTCACCAAGCAGGACTCTTGTTCAAAACAAAATTTAAAATTATTTGTGGCCTCGATGTGTTTAATCCTGGTTAAAGACAAAGCTGCTAATGCTGTTTTTATTCAACACATTAACCAGCTGTAAAACACAGACCTTTATAACCAGGCACAGAATCTCAGGATTCATACACAGACCGTGCAAAGTCATGTAATTTGAAAAGCAGTGTTGCATTATGAAAGAGCGCCCAAGCTGCTTGTAAAGCTAATCTAATTAAAGTGATATATAAATGTGCTTGGAGAAAAAAGTATGCTTGTTATTTCCATCTGTCTTTTCCTGTTTTTTAATCCTTTCTCAGAGACCGACTTTCTTTGTATCAGATACTGTGCTTTACTTAAAATCCCACACCTCTGGCGTGGTTCAGAACGTCGGCTGTCACTTTTTGTAAATGAGAAGGGAAAGAGGGAAACCGGTAAACACAGGGCCCCATGTGAGAGACATCCTGGGGGTCATTGCGCTACCCTTGAGGCCCCTGAACTCTGTGCTGAGATTCTCAACGTTTGGGTTCTGCCCCTTTGAGTAGGATTTTTAGAACGACTCTAACACTCACGCTCTTGAGCACACCGGTGTCACCCTGTGCTCAAAAGGACGGGGCACTGGCCCTTTGTCCCTAATTGTCAGAAGTGTCCTGTTGGGTGGGAGTAGTTATGAATTTGTGTGTCATAGGCTAAACTATATGAGCTCTTATAAACAGATCAGTGGCCATGTTCACTTACCTCTCCTTTAAATATCTTTAGTGTGGGTTTTCCCCCCAGCCCATCCTTGGGCATTTAGAAAATGGTACGGAAATGCAGCTGGGTGAATTCAGGGAGAGGACAGATGAGTTCGAGATGAAGACTAATTAAATCAGGCAGCGTGGTAAAGAGAGCAGACAGAACTGACCAATCTGTTTAGTTCTGGCCCAGCCACTTAATTGTGTGACACTTAGAGCCACCTTCAGTGCAGTAGCTACAGACGTAGTCGTGTGGGACCTAATGAAATACAGATTGCCCAGGGGCACCTGGGCCAAGGATGCGAACCGTGTACCGTATGTTTAATAACATAATTGTACGTTAGCTTGTTTTCAGTTGTTTAAAAACATTCAGTTGTTTAGAAACACCCAGTCTTACTGCTTCCAGGATGGTTTGGGGGACATCTGAGGTCAGGGGTACACCCCCCGGATTCCGATTGTGGTTTTAATGCAGATTCTTTTCATCATCGCCAGCAAGTCAGTTTCACCTGGAACACGGCCATGTTCAAGATCTGCCGTGGGGTCAGTGATGAATATCAAGGGCAGGGCCCCGTGAGCTGGAAGACTTGTAAGTAGAGGACACTGGCCACTTCCCAAGACAGGGAGCGCGCACACAGCTACAGGCAGCTAACGCTCCTTCCATCGAATGGATTGAGTCTGAACAAGGTGTCAGAGGTTATTGGGTGTAAGGTCTTCGTTGCATTGAGATGATGACTTTTTCTGCCCAAATCACTCTATTTCTTTGGTGTTTTATAAAATACCCTTACAATTTTTCCCCAGAACACACAAAGCAAGCAGAGCAATCTTGATCTCCACTTACAAATACAACAGGACCAGAGAAGTGACTTTTCTTAAAAAATAAAGGGGAACGCTTCGTGAATTCGCGTGTCATGCCTGTGCAGGGGCCGTGCTACCCTTCTCTGCACCGTTCCCGTCTCAGCGTCGGGGCTGCTGAAGTGATCCCTGGGCATTTGCCCGGTTCTGAATTCCGTTGCGACATCGCTGCGCCTCGATTTTGCAGCACGAGGCGTGATCTCTGACTTCCGTCATGGGAGACACGCACAGGCCTCTGCAGCCCCAGCTGCTTGTCGAGCTCCTGCCCCATCCCCCCTCTTCCTCATGTCATCGCGCTGTAACTTGGGCTCACACCAGGTTAATAGACTGCGTGCCCACTTAAAGCTGAGACTCGTGTTCGTAACCAGGGTGACTTGTCTTCCACGATGGACTGTTCTCCTTCCTGCCTCGCTTCTTCCCTCTTTTCCCTGCGGCCTCCGGCCTGTGGTCTTGTGGAGCCGTCGCCCTGTATGGGGGCTGAGCCCCGTCTTCCTCAGGCGCCTCCCCCCGTTGTTCCGGGGGCCCCTTCCCTGCTCGGTTGGATCTTGGGTTTCCTGGACCCCACGCTTCCTCTTTCTGGGGTTACTTCCTCGGCCTGGGGTCTGGCGCGGGTGCCCCCGGCGCTTCCTGGCGAGTTTTCCCAGGCCAGGTCGTTGTCGTCGTCCCCTTCCTGGCTCATTTGCCTGAGTTCCCAATTCCAGCTTGGCCTTGGGGTTCCTTCAGGATTCGGAAGGCATGGCCTCCGGCTTCTAGGTGGCGGGCGGGCGCTGAGCCGTCTGCAGCCCTGGCCGACTGTGTGTGTGTAACCGGCCTTTTCTCTGCGGCGGACGCCCCTGGCATTGCCCTTGGTCCCAGGGCGCTGTAGGCGTCCGTGTGCTTTGGCGTGGGCCTGCGAGTGTGCCCTCCATTTGGGGACATTTTCTTTATTATTATTTTTTTAATTTAAATTCTTTATTGTTTAAAGTATTACATAAGTCTCCCTTTTCCCCCATGGACCTCTCCCTGGCCGCCCCCCCACCCCCCACGTTTTCTTAAATGACAGTATTTCTCTCCTGCATCCTTGCCTCGTGGTGCACCTGCCGGTGGGCCTGCGCTTCTCCTAGTCGCTGTGTATCTGTCCTTTATTTTGGAGACTCCTATCCCCCTCCCACCCCCCGTTTTCCCAGCAGGAGTGTCATGTCTGTTGTTGGGTTTTAATCCAGGGCTTTCTTTTGTTCTCTCAATTTTTTAAGGTCTTCCATTTAACGGATAATCTTCAACCTTCCTGTTGGTTTTCGTTTTTGCCCTTCCTGTTGGACGCTCTCCTCACACGTCTGGTCGTTCTTGCTGTGTGTTCATGTTTAAGGGAAGGTGCTTGGGCTTGTGGGTTTTCAATAAATATTGGCAGCTGCCTAAATCCGAATCTTTCGTAATCCTCCCGACACGATCCAGACCGGGGAACGTCACCTTTCCCTTGTCCTGCAGCATCACCGAGACACGGGAAACGGTTCAATGACAGCAGAGAACACGCATCTGAAGAGCCAGCACCAGGACCCACGGGAGGGTGGAGTCGGGTGGAAGCTCTGGTGGAGGGGTGAGGGCCATGGGGCCAGCGTGGCCTTTCACGGGGACAGCAGGGACCCCACCGCGAGGGAAGGAAGCGCTGATACATCTGACACCGGTTGCAGGAGAAGCGGATGTTGGAAAGTTCCTGAGATCGCAGCTCGCCTGTTGGGGAGCCTCCCGTTTCTGGGAGAGGGGAAGGTACCTCCTAGAGGCCCGATGGGAAAGTGAAAGAAGCGAAAACTAAAACGAAGGCCTCAGAGACTCCAAACCCTCCCACCTGACAAAGAAATGCTGTATTGCACCGTCCCAACAGACGAGAGAAGCCACACACCCCTGTCCTTGCTACCGAGAACCAACTGCAGTGCCTTTCAAACAGGAAAAGGAAGACGGGTGGTGTGAACACTGAGAAGAAGAGACA